ATTAATGTATATATATATATGTATATGAATACATGTATATGCATACATATATATGTATGTATATATTTAAATTTCTCTGTTCCATGTGTATGTATATATATGTATATATACATATACTTATACATATATATCTGTTTAGAAGTATATTATAAATAAGTATGATCAATAAGTATATATATATATATATATTTATAATATTAATAGTTGCGTAAATATATTCATAAATTTCCTGTGCATTGATATATATATATATATATATATTATTGAAACATCTCCTTATATTTGAATTCAGGCGTCAATGCATGTACATATTTTTGGATGTAGACGTAGAGTCTAGGGCTATGGTTTTGGAGTCCATGTTCTTTAATATCCTTGGTGCCTATAATCGTCGTGTATAATATTTTTGTAAATTGTTCTGAAAGTAACTGTTTTGGCTGGTTAACTGGAGGTGTTTTTGTGTTGTATTATTGGAGAGTGAGCCAGTATTTTTATTTAAACATAATGAAACAAGCACCACGGTTTGATACGCTCTCATATTTTGTGTACTTTTTCTTGCTGACTATTGATTGCAAAGCCATTGTGCGTCTGTTGGAACATTCAAGATAAATGCTTTTGACGTTTTTTGTTTATACACATAGAACTAAATATATAAATATATACATACATATATATATATTTATACATATATATACGCATATATATATATATATATTTATATATTTATATATATATATATATATGCATCTATATACATAAACATGCATTTGTGTTTTATTATCATTCCTCAAGCATGTTGACGAATACAAGTATCTGTGTACACACTTGTTAACAGTGATGGTATATATTTTCTAAAGTATACATTCATGTATATCACTGTGTATGTATATGGGTAATCGTCTGTCTCGTTGTCCTAATAAACTCTATCGGCATTTTATTATAGGTGTAGGTGTATACATGTTTCTATATCAACATCTTTATCTATATATGGATTTCTTGCATTTGAATGTATATTATTTTCAACGTGTTATCTTTCGATCACCATATGTATATATGTTTGTATCTACACAAGAGTGTATATATTTTATTAGTATATATAATTATTTATTTATTTATTTATTTATAATTATATATATATATATATATATACAATTATATATATATATGTAAATTCATTCACTGTTGAATGGGACCAGACCTGCCACCTTACACTTATGTGAAATTACTGATTTAACAGCTTGTTGTCAGATATCGTGTTCTGTTTCAATGGAATTCGCCTCTACCTCATACCTAGCATAGTCATATATCGTATTGCCGTGTACTCTGAGTCGAATTCGAAACGAGTGTTGTAATGATGCTTGTTTGTCTATTTATTTGTTTCTTTGTTTGGGTATAAACGGTTCAATTCTTCTCCTCGCCCTCGCCATCTGCAACCAAGCTACTCTGTGGTGTAGTTAATGTACTTATGGGTCGTAACCTTTGGATGTGAATGAACATATTCCGTAGCCTCTGCCAGTCTCATGCTCTAGCAATGCAATGCACGTTGTAAGCCTGCAAGACATACAACCCTCGACAGCAAACCTTTGTAGGTACACTATTAAAAACCGAGTGCAATCTGCAGCATTAAACTCGGTGTGGAACGGAATGCGTTTACGTTACAATTCTGCTCCACTGCTCGCGACAGTGCGCTTTGATATGTGTAGTGCTATACACGCATGCTTTTAAAACACGTGGTACGTCTGGGTGGAAAGTTGACAGGTGTATCGTGCACCCATCAGTCTCTGTGCTTCCTCTTCCGTTACACAAGTGTGGCACCTTTGACCGTCTCGTTGGCCATCCGTGACGTAGATATTTGTATATTCATGTAAGTATATTTATGTCTATGTATGTATGTATGTACATGTATTAGTGTCTTGCTTCGCCAATAGTGATGTTCATCGCACATGCAGTCTTTCTGCTGTGGGCCATTATGCACGAATAGCGAGTGTCGTATGCATGTTTTACGTATTGGCAGCATAGTGTCTATAAGTCTCTTACGTTTTACATCGCAGTGTCGATCATTTTTTGCACCGTTTGGACTATATATCTCTCGTTCTGCCAAATTTATGGCTATACTGCGTTGTTTCTTTCTCTGTATAGGCGCCCATCAAAATCTGCGGTGACGTACACGGCCAATATTTCGACTTACTCCGGTTGTTTGAGTACGGTGGTTTCCCGCCCGAATCAAATTACCTGTTTCTGGGAGACTACGTTGACAGAGGTATGGTACTGTCTATAAACCTTTGGATGTGCTTATATATATATATATGCATAAAGGTATACACACATATATATATCTATGTATGTTATGAGAATATCCTTCATATCATGTACTGTGAAGCACGACAAAAACCAAAGATATCAGATTAACATAGGGGAAGGCGGAATTGGGATTGGCCTGATGAGGCCATTTGTCAATTGATCACCTGGTGTCTATAAACATTTATATATATTTTGGAATTGGAATGGTTTTCAAGAGGCTTTCAATCGATAAAAAACCCCAAGTTTGTGAAGTCTTGTATCGTATAACCTATATTTACCAATTGGCCCATACATATACTTAGTTATTTGTATGTATATGTAAGTAACTATGTGCGTGTTTCAGTATCTGTGTGCGTATATGTATACTAATTTTACACGCATACGAAATTCCCGTTCTCCAGGAAAGCAATCGCTGGAGACTATTTGCCTGCTTTTAGCTTACAAGATCAAGTACCCTGAGAACTTCTTCCTTCTCCGCGGCAATCACGAGTGTGCTTCAATTAATCGTATATACGGATTCTATGACGAATGCAAAAGAAGGTAAGTGAAGGGAGGTGTTGTGGCCAGGCCTCTGTTTGAGTTTACAAGATTGTCAGATAGTGGCATGGTCCGTTCATGTTATGGCTATGAAGTGTTTGTGGCGTTCTATATATATTTGTATACATATACATACACATAAATACACGTACATGTATATGTATGTACATACTGATACTTGCACTCGGCGTGTTCTTCAGTGGTTAATAATCGTAGTTGCATATTCAGAAGTTATCTGAGAATGTGGCACACTGCGTATGATTGAATTTAATGCGTATAGAGCCCAAATATAGGATATGCAAACTCTATGGTACTCTATTCAAGCATATGGTTTGACATTTCTTATGTGAACAATGTCTTTTAATAACGATTGTATGCGCCGAACTTTTCAGTTAGAGCGTTGCCGCAATTATTCAGGGGAAGAATACAAGTATTTCTATATATACATACATATGAATGAGGTTGTATATATAGGTACAGACATTATGCTGTTAGCAGATAAATATGTTCGTACGGCAAGCACGTATCTACTCGCAGCAAACATCTGTGTGTTGTATATATATACTAGACATCGTTTTTAAATCATTATAATTTACCTCTCGTGGCGTATGGCACGCAGATATAGCATCAAGCTTTGGACGACGTTTACTGAATTTGTTTCTCTATGAATTTGAATACATGTGTGTGTATTTATTATTTATATATGTGTAAACGCATATATATATATATACGAATATTTGAGATAAAATTTGAAGCATTATAGCTCACCTATATATTATCAAGCTTTGGAAATAACTTCTTCAACTGTATCTCTATATGTATGCATATATATAAATTCCTATATTGTGCATGGATTTTGATTCATCATAACTAACATCGCTTGGCACATGGCCCACAGATATAACATCAAGCTTTGGAAGACGTTCACAGACTGCTTTAACTGTCTCCCCATCGCGGCCATCATTGACGAGCGCATCTTTTGCATGCACGGAGGGCTGTCGCCTGATTTACATTCCGTACGTCATTGCTATATGTAGTTGATCGTTTTATATGTTGTTGCTAATGCTATATTTAGTTGCGAGTATCATATATATAGTCGATCGTGTTATATGTTGTAGCTATATGTATTTAATCCACTAAATGTCTTGGGCCACATTTCCTTTGTCTATGGTATATTTTGCTCCTGGTTCTATCAACTAGATATTATAGTTTGAACTTCATATGTCATTATCGAGCTTCCATATATTTTTATTCTATACCCGGTGTTTTGGTTCGCATTTAATGTGTTGGTGCTATATTTAGTGACTAGTTGTTTTCGGATTCACGTTCACCGTGTCCACAATGAATATTCATTTCCATATATCTATTATCGTGATATATGTATGTTTATTGTCGCGAATGCAGATGAACGTATGTGACGATTTATTGTATGTATGCATATATATATATGTATGTATGTATATATAGTGAGTAGGTACAGCTCAAATCGTTATCAACCAGCGCGAGTATTCTCGGTGCGGATATATTGTATAAAGTCATGAAATATATGCGTCCGATGTTAAGTCCCAGAGTCGTGTGTGAAGTTGGGTTTGAAAGAGATTTTGCTGATTTTGGTTTGCCGCATACATACTTTATTACATTAATCCTTTCATACAGCCTTTGAAACATACCGTTTCTATATACATCTGTACCTCTATTTATCTGTTTTATCCATTAATTTATAGAGGTATCTATCTAATATTATGTGTATACATAAATCACACACACACACACAACCCGGGGAAGTACGTATAGACCACTGATCCTGGCCCTTGCCCTGTCTCCTCCTGTTGTCATCTGCACACACAGATGGAACAGCTGCGAAGAATTATGCGACCCACAGACGTGCCTGACACCGGTTTACTATGTGACTTGCTGTGGTCCGACCCCGACTCAGATATCACGGGCTGGGGCGAGAACGATCGGGGCGTGTCCTTTACTTTTGGACCGGACGTGGTGCAGAAGTTTTTGGCCAAACACGACTTTGACCTGATTTGCCGAGCCCATCAGGTGGTGGAGGATGGCTACGAGTTCTTTGCCAAGAGACAGCTGGTGACTATATTCTCAGCACCCAATTACTGTGGTAGGTGCGCCTGCCCTGGGCACTGCAGTGTGCATGTATGGTGTGGGTGAGAAGACAGAGTGTATATGTATGGTTACGGTATAGGTATGGTATGTCTATCTCTATGTTTATGTTCATGTTTGTATGCTTGTATATGTATTCGTATATACATGCTATATATATAGTACTGTTGATAAAACAATGTGTAAGCCTCATCCTCGTGTAAGCCTCAGACATCGTTGTTTGTTAAATTACTTCACTTTCATCATACATTCACCAATCCTTAGTATTTGATCTTCACCGCTGTTTTGGTGTGGTATGTTTCACTCTTTCGTAATCACTTACATCGTACATTCACCAATCCTTAGTATTTGATCTTCGCCGCTGTGTTGGTGTGGTATGTTTCACTCGGTCGTAATTATAAGTCCTGGCCATCAAACCCGATTGTTGTGTCTTTGTGGTCTGTCCTTTCATCCTGAAAGATAGCTGCCCTTTCTTGTATCGGTTTTTACGATGTTTGTTTTCTCTTATGGCACAATTGTACATTTGTATGTCGCTGTAAAAATATGCACTTCTGTCTCAGCCCGTTTTTGTTTCTCTGACCGCCACATTGCACATTTGTATCTATAACTTTTTCTAGACTGGAACATACCTGAAATTTAACGTTTTGCTATTACTTGTTTCTGATTACACAACAGGAGAGTTCGATAACGCCGGAGCGATGATGAGTGTAGATGAGACGTTGATGTGCTCATTCCATATTCTGAAGCCTACGGATAAGAAGATGTTGCAAAAGGTACGTTTAAAATTAGTCTGTATTTTCAAGGTAAACCTGATATGTTATCACAACTTTTGCACGCATCTATATAATGTGCTATGAAAGTATATCATCGGGTAGAGAGCAAGAGGCATGTGTTTATATTCGGTCTGTGTTCGTGTTTGAGTTATTGCTCCGGATCTATATACATGAATATATATACTTCATTATTTATTTTTATTTTTTACTTAAATATATATATATATACTTTATTTATTGTAGTCCAACGCAAGCACACGCACGCCTGTAAATCTGAATATATCAATGTATTACATTTATCTGTATATCGAAGTATTACCTATGTATATATATCGAAGTATCTATTTATAAGTTTCAACCCTAATGTAACCTTTCTCACACTTTTACTTTGGTTTTTCATAATTTCACAGAAGAAGTAAATATCGGTTGAAATTCAATAGCGAGTCGGTTCACTTGACAGCCGCTGTCATCTTGATGCTACCATACATACAACATACATATAGGTGTATATGTATATGTACATAGATATACCTTTGTGTATATACATATATGTATGTAAATGTACATAGATATGTATACATATGGCATACGCACCCATCCCATCCTCACCTCAATCCCTGCGATGGCATATTGTTGGTGGGCGGGCACACACACGCCGGTGGTTGCTGAGCAACGCACTGCCACTCCACGCACACACTGCTATAATTCATGTGTATGGCGCAACTACGATGGTGTGTGCGTGCACGAGTGTTCATGTACTGTGCACACGCTGGAAGGGGGTATGCCAGCATACAGGGATGGAGGTCTGCATAGCGTAGGTGGGCTTATGGGGGTCTGCGTAGCGGAGATGAGCTTAGTATATTGCAGTTACCTCGTGGATTAGGGCCTTTGGGTGTGGGTGGAACAGACAGCGAATATTAGTAGGTTCAAGCGATGGTTTCGCGAATCGGAATAAAGAGAATTGGTGTATATCGCTTTGTGTCTGCACTGAGCAATACTCTTGGCTAGTTCGTACATAAATTATGAATGTGATTGGCTGTATTATCTCCTCCGCCAATGGGATTAAAGAGAATTGGTGTATATCGCTTTGTGTCTGCACTGAACGATACTCTTGACTAGTTCGTACGTATACTATCGATTTATCGTCGTTATTTGGCGTTTAAATATACCTCTTTTTAAAAGAGTGTAGCCCCTTGTTGTTTTAGGACGTATACACTATACTCAAGTATTCTCGGTTGGAGGTTGTCGTTTGGCTATAGTACAAGGATGTGATGGAATTAGTTTTATATTTACCATTAATCGCTCATCGTCACTGAAGTGTTTTCAGGTTCAGTCATGTTTGGTTTTTATGTTGTTCTGTTTTCCTTTTTTTTTAACGGATGAAAAAGTACCCTAATCCCTATTACAACCTGAAAATTAATAATATATTTACCCACAAATTGGATTCAGTACATCTATATAACAACAAGAGTGTGTATATACTATCTAAGTATCTAAATCCACTCAAACGTTGGAGAATCTGATTGCTTGACGCTTTATTATCGTACTCTTATAGTACGTATATATATGTATATAAATATATATATGTATATATACTATATATATATATATATATATATATAATAATATATGTATAGTAAGTAGTATGTGTATATTATATATATATTATATATATATATATTATTATTATTATATTATTATATATATATATTATATATATATATATATATATATATATATACTTGTATACTTGTATACTTATAAACATAATATATATATATATAATTATATTGCTTAATTCAGGTTTAACATGTCGGTCACTGTATAATACCATTCCACCAGTTGTCACATGCAAGTGTATTTCAGATCTGTCATTGCACTCGAGGTATAATACACTGAAATTATCCGCAAACTCGTCAGCGTGGCTCGTTTACGCATCAGTGACACTCCGAGAGACCTGGATAAAGTCGCTGCACCCTTTTATAGTGAAGCAGCACGGTATGCCATGATAGTACCTGTGGTTGTCACATGTACCTATTGTTGTCGCATATACCTGTTGTTGTCGTATATACATGTTGTTGTCGCATATACCTGTTGTTGTCGCATATACATGTTGGCGCATATACATGTTGTTGGCGCATATATCACTTGTTGTCGCATACACCTGCTGGTGTCGCATATACCTCTTGTCGTACCATATATCTCAGAGATAATCTCCAACGGCACATTTCAACTCTCGTTAATGAAGTTATCTGCGTTAAGTTATACGTGACACGGAAGTTGTTTTGTGGCCAGGTCAGTGGTTTATCCTAGCACTATCACCTCACCCTTTGATCACCTCACCTTTTGGTTTTTTCTTGCAAGTGTCCAATCCAGGCGGTTCGTCGACATCTATGGCCCTTTCTAGCTTTACCTTCCGTTTCCCACTTCCTACTGCTTCACTCTTGCTCACATATTGTGCACTCCACGCGTCCACACCGATGATCGGATTATTATTCTTCACACCACGCTGGTTAGTCTCACACCCACACCTTGCTTGGCCACCACCACAGTGGTCGGTATACCCTTCCCATCCACGAGTCTTCGACTCAAAAACCAAAGTTTATCCCGGATGTATATGTTGATCGATTTCTGCGACATCACCTGTCGCTTTCCCACTGGATAGTGGTGCTTGGCGCATCGCTCGCGCAGTGTGATCGCCCCACCACCACATACGCCAATACTCGCACCCTTCTTGATCATCTCTTTCTCAGTCATCTTAGCTTTTCCATGCACATTGTACGAGCTCTCTTTGTGGGCTCTACTATCTCGCAGTTTACCCCGGCTGCAGCCCGTAAATGTGGTTGTAATTGTACCAATATTGTCTGACGAAGGCATGCTAGCCAACTCAATTGCTCCTACAACGTTCTGTAAGGCCAAAATATCCAGAGATCCGCGATGTGTTTGTTCCTCAGTATCCTGGCTCACGCTGATTGAAATGCCCGAATTAAAGGAAGACTATGCGCATTAGAAAAGGTACAAACTTCATCAGTACCACTATGTATATATACGTGTATCAAGTTACGTAGAGCTGACGAGCACAACCTGACCTTGTAACAAGTTTTATCTGTATATGTTAATTTATATATGTGAATTATCTTCAGGCAAGTAGAAACCTGAAAAAATGTTGGTCTTGGAATAATCATCTCGAAGAGATGAACCAATTCGCTAGGCGCGATTGGATTGAAGATTAAAAAGCTTTCAAGCCATCGAACTGCGAAAACAAACGCTGGTAGAATTAATCTTCTACCCATACCAAGTCTGCCATACACATCGAAGCAAGCTACGTGGTCTACATACGAAAAAGCGAACATTTTCCGAACAGTATTGTTTGTGGTGTGTTCTTTGACGAACCCCTTCTCTGTCAATTCTGCATTTGCATAAACCACGAAAAGTCGCTTTTTTAGAACTTCAAATGACAATACCGACCAGAAAGGCACGTCACAATTAGGAGCATATAACCGAGATGCAATAGGTGCAGTGATAAAGATCACGAGCTTAGTCCGTCCGCCGTAGTAGCGTTATCTTACATACATTTCAGCTCATAAAATCCTACACCACACTAATGCTATTTATCGGAACGATATGTCTAGAGAAAAATTACAACTATCAAATCATCATTTGATGAGAATTTGAAGAGACGTACTCTTCGTGTTACTAGCAATTTTTCCACATGAACAAGAACTCGGTCATGATCCGGAGCGGTGAGCTTACAAGCATTGGTAGTGAAGGGAGATATGCGGACCTCGAAACGTTTTCCGGCTTCGGCACACACATAGAAACCAGCTGCCATGGTTTTCATGAAATTGCCACACATTTTGAGATAATTATGTATCCTGGGATGCTAGAAACGGAATGTCAGTTTATTTTCAGATTAATGAGCAGACCAACGGACAGCAGAAGAAAAAAATTAGCTATGCATTATCGATGCTATGCTAGACAGCAAACCATTTCCTGAGCGACGAAGTTATTATTCTGTAAAGTATCATGTCAACTTACGTTCAATTGGGCCGGACAGCTTTGAGCGGTCTTTGGCGACCTCTGGTGAAACGTAGAACAATGGCATTGGTTCCTTTTCTACTTTCACATTCGATTACAATGCACTGATCCCTGAGTTTTCCGATGCTGACTCTTTTACGATGTATAACCCCATTGCAAATTCTATGTTCACCGTATAGAGGATGGTAGCAACTCTTGTTTAGTTTAAACGGCCAATCAAGCCTATTATGCGAAACAAATGATTTGCTCTGATTGAGCTGGTACCAGCTTAACACGTGTTCAGTATACAATGCTAAATGCTCGAAACAAGAGGCGGATTGCGTCGATACTACAGATTGGCAAACATCGTCCATCTAGCCTCGAAAATAATCTCGGGGGAGACTTGAGACGCGTATGATCACTATACGTCATACCCTCATTTACGAATCAAGCAAAGATAAACATACAACCACACATCGCATACTTGAGGAAAATCTTAGCCGCACGTGTTCAGCTGTGTATTACCTATCTTTATACCATATCCACATAGATGTGCTACTAACGACACTGTACCTCTTAGAAATGAATACACTGACCCAACTTAGGCCCCTTGTGAAATAGTGCCCCATTTAAGTAGAGTGTATCCAGTTTATGTCTAGTTTGGGGAGATTTACTAGTAGATTCAAGGGGGAAGGTTTGAATTCTAGAAGTTCAGGTCTCAGACTACTACTTAACAATAAAATCACAATAGACCTCTGAAGGAGGGATATTATAGATCGGTTAGGTTCCCAAATCGATAAGGGATGAGTGGAAGATGGGGGACCCCTGAAGGGGGTTCCTCGAAGAAATGGGGATAACCCCTATTCGTATAAGAGGTACAGACAGATATAGTTGCTACAACCATTATAAACGATCAAGAACTGAACATATCATCAAGCATCACTTACTTGAGGGGGAAATAAGCCGCATGTGATCGCTGTATGCTAGAACGTCCTCTGCCGCAAGCATTTCTGGAGTGGGAAGGCATGACCTAGGATCTATTGTGTTCCACAGTCCTTCGTATTTGGTTGGTGCTTTGTATACTGCGCGACTTGCGCTCACAACGATTATACAGCAATGACTCTAAAGAATGGCTTTCAGATTGGTGGGCAACCTTTCTCGTAAGGGCCACCTTTTATGGCACACATATATAGTTGGATCAGCTTGTAAATATACCACCAAGTATGTGTTTGTAGTTGTATCTATATATTTTCTTATTTCTAGTGCAATAGATAGATATACGATATCCTGGCACCTGCCCACTTGAAAGAAGATATTACTCCATTAGATACCTGGCACCTGCCAATGTTTTTTAAAGGTACAGGTGTTCTTGTCTCAATTCCCTCTATTGATTGGTCATAATGTGCCACGATACCAACCAATAGTCAATTAGCCAATAGCCATGTATAGCGATATTTAGGTAACGCGGCTGTCGAAATTTTAATTCGTAGATTAGGGTCTAAATACTCGTTTATAAAAAAAAGGCCAAATGTATATATTCTCCTGGGCTGGTAATTGTAAAAGGAAAGACGCCGACATTTGGCAAAAAGACATGCCCGACGAGACGGCACGACATTTTGTCAGACATATCGGTCGGCGTCGGGTGTCGGCGACAGACTTAGTGTTGACTGAGGGGGACTAGCGCAACAACACCAAACGACATGTACTACGTGTCGTGGCGACATTTATCATACGTCGTTGTCGGATGGCAACCCAAATATGCTCATAATACAATCAATTACGTCATCAATTATCAGAGTCAATAAATGTGTTTGTTTTCAAAAAACAAATAATATTGGTTGTTAAATGTTTTGCCGTTTTCCGGTTTTCGCTAGTTCCTTTGCAGTGCAGTTAAAAAACAGTGCACATTTATGATCCTGTCTATGTTTTGGATATGTAGCATATGACATATTCGAATTCAAGACTAGGTCCCAATCACTATGCCTGAAGATATTTGACCGCTAATCTGTATTAGTATAGATGCTCTTTGAAACATATTGCTGCATTGTTACGACATTGTGTAGTACCTAATAATATGAATTCAGTTTAATAGTACTAAATCAGTAAAAAATCAGGAAGTCTCACATGAAATACATATTTTACTATACTAAACCGATTATACGTTCAGCCCAGGAAATCAGAGAGGGTTTACAGACTAGCAAATCAGAGCAGATTTGAATGATACCAATAAAATTTCATAACATTATGCCATTCTATCGCGCTGTACAAATTGTACTGCTAGACAATTGCACTGAACGGTGTATTTCATTTTAGAATATATGTCACTTTGTCTAGCATGCAATGCATGGTATCGACGATGATGGTGAGTAATTGATTTCAAAACCAGCATATAAACATCCAACGCAACTAACTTCAAAAGCACTCTGTAAAAGGTTTACACGTTTAATTGCCAATCCGCCCGAAGTGACATTGTACTAAGTGGATATTTATTTGTTAAATATATCATAATACTATGGGCAACCGCTTTTGAATACATTGCCACTATAATCTGAACTTACTTGCAGCAATGAGAAGTGCCGCATTTGATTGAAGCGTAGTGGCCACATTTTTTAGTGTACCGACAGCATTCGGTGTCGTGCTTCTAACCATGTTTGCACTTGTCAGATGATATATCACCACACTTGTAGTAGTTGCCTGTAAGATCGCGTGGGCTCGATGGTTTGCGCTTCTCACAACAAGTGTGTTGATTACAGTCAGGCAGCCCCGACTCACAGTCATCTCCCTTTGCATAGCACTTCTCACGATCCAATAGCTCATATCCGTGACCGCAGTGAACGTTCGCATCTCTACATTCTTTGGGTTCATCGTACTGCTCCTTTTCACAGCATGTGCGTTTGCTACATTCAGGAACCCATGACTTACAGTAGTCCCCCTTGTTACAGCATTCTTCGCGTGGAATCAGCTCTTAGTGACGATCGCAATCAATATAAGACTCTTTACAAGTAATAGGGTCGTCGTAGCGAACACTGTTCTTATGGCTGCTGGTATATACTTGAAAGTCGAGGACTGCAAGACTAGCGACGGCAAGAACAAGGAAACGATTCATAGCTGACATGTTGGTTAATAGCTAGTGCTTTTGCTTGAGATCTGTTCACTGTTGTCACATGTACACTGTATTTATATTGATCCTAAAGATACATAGTTCCCACAGGGATGACTTCCATTTGAACGCTTCGAGTGTATCTTTTAACTACAGATTTTTATATTATTTATGCAAGCTTTTACTTCAATCTGCAGACAGATTTTAACTGTTCATGACCAAACTTGGCATACTTATTGACTATCGCGATGCTAGATTGATTTTTTTTGTTGAAATTAGTATGCAACCGTATAACTCGTTACCCAAAACCTCTAAGAAATTCTTGGTCAGTCATAGTTGGTTAATTTCGGCATACATGTACCTGCGCCGTAGTCCACCTACAGACCTTGTTACAGCAATTAAAGGACCTACCCTTCGCATGCACCTATAAACACTTTAATTAACACTTTGAACTCCTTATGCACCACTGTAATTCATCCCTTGGGCTTCTTCATCTACACTGAGCACAATGAAGTGCAAAGGTATCGTAACGCGCACATGTGAAGACTGTCTGCAACGCACAATTGCCAGCGGTCGTGTTCATTGTGACAAACATATACACAAACAGCCGCGAGGGTACAGGAACCGCGCACATAGACCGTGACATAGCGCGACTGGAATAATGATAGCCGTTTTATTGTGGTTGTAGGGCTATTTAGAGGCCTGCACCTAACAGCACACAGTCTGCACTCATGTGGACCGTCTGCACTCTATATAGAAATCTAGGTATTTATAATGTAGGTATAAATAATGTAGGTATCCATTGTTGAGGAGAATTAGAAAGAAATATACTGTAGTCAGTCCCCTCCGGCTACTAACGCATCACCTACGCGAACATCGTGTCTATAACACTCCATTTGAGTAGCAAAATACGACTATAACTGCATATATATATATATATGTATATATATATATATATATATATATATATATATATATATATATATATATATATATATATATATATATATACGCGTTGCGTGCATACAATACACCTCCATATATGCAATAGCATATATATATATGCGTTGCGTGTATACAATATACCTCCATATATGCATTAGCATGTACGTCCATCCATCCATCCTTATTCGCACATATCAGCAGTTCAGTCTACCAGTCTACACCTGCACCGTAGGTACTGTATCGCTATCGGAGCATGTGACTGTCAGCAGATTGGTGATGAGCTTAACACGCTCCCCCGCAGTCATTTCCAGACCCCCAGCCTCTAGCTGTTTAATGGCCATCTGTGATATAGCCACGGCACCCTGAGAAACGAGCGTGTGCAGTATATTAATAGATAGATATAGATGTGTTGTGTGCTTGGCTCAAGATATGCATATATAACACATAGGTAGTAGTCACGGCAACATATATATATATATATATTCACAACACATCGGTATACTCACCCAACCCCTCATAGTGACTACCCAACCCAAAGTATCTGACACCTCACCTGAACAATGTGCTCGCGTGCGGCAATCATAGCCTTAGCCTGTTGCTTCTTCAGCATTGCATTGGCCACCTCAGGTGCGTAGTTGAGCTCGTTCAGCTGCATGCTCTGTATGATAGCCCCCGCGGGAGCCACAGTCTTCTGAAGCGCATCTCGCATAAGGTTGCCTATGTGCTGGCTTTCGTTCTTGAGGGAAGGTTCGTCGCCTTCGGATTCGTAAGGGAATTGACTGACAATCTGTTTGAGTGTGGCACTGGCCTGGGTCATGACGTACTCGTTGGGGCTCAGGACGTTGAGCAGCGCTTTCTGTAACGGATGCAAGATAGGGTTGAGCAACCATACAGTTGGAGATGGGGTTTTTTATAAACAATACAGTTGGGAGATAGGTTTATAAACAATACAGCTAGTTGGAGATAGGGTTCACAACAATTCAGTTGGAGATAGGATTGTTACGAATGAGGCCTGAAGCGAAGAAGTTGGGAGGCACGCAATGAATAAGACGTGTGTGTAGGTGATGACAGGCATAAGCAGGCGGAATGGAATCACACACTATGATATCAGAAACAGAGAAGGGGGAGGACAACTCGGTTTAGGACTGATGAAAGCATTGCCTCGACACATACTACCTTATGAGTGGACACATCGATTTCGTACACACTTAATGAATTGTGTATATATTGTGTATTGAATTGTATATAATATGTATATGAACTGTATATGAAGTCTATATTGAATTGTATATGAATGTGTATATGAACTTTATATGAATCCTGTGTTGAATTGTATATGAATTCTATATTGTATATGAATGCGGGGTATTTATAGAGTTGTGAACGTCGAGAGTACTATGCGCCTGCAGAACACTAGACTATGCATCGAAAATAGCGGCATTGTATACAATAGGACAGGTGCAGATGCGCACAAACCCTGACGTACTGTACTCAACGACCCAACGGCCAAGGCAGTACACCACTGTACATGTACATGTGCCGAATCCGGTAATCTACCTACCTTGCTATCTACGAATCTGTAGGTAAGGATGGCCGAGACTATGATCGGGTTACCATTGCCATCGAGCACCTTCACATTGGGAATGTCCACACTCTTCTGTGATGTGAGGATGGTGCGGATTTCCCGCCCAAAGCAGTTGACGAAATGGCACCCTAAATAAGGCAGCGTATGGCGCGCGAAAGATGAGAAGGAGTGCCCGAGCTCAAATCTTCAGAACCAGAACCTACCCTGACCTAAATCAGATATACTATAATTTTAATACACATGTACATGCATGGTGTGAGTGTATACACATCGAGGCGTACAAAAGCGCGTGCAAAAGAATACTATGTATATATTTACCTGGCTCGTCGATGGTGCCTGTGTACGTTCCGTAGTGCAGGATGACCGCCTCTGAGCGTGTGTTAAGCGTAAAGCACGACATAACGGCAGTCAATGGGAAACATGCGAAGCCCAGCACATCCGCCACGATGGAACGACCAGCCCTGTTATAAGAACGAGTTGATGTTCGATTAGGGATGTATTATCGAGATGAGCGATGATTGGTTTCACTCTGAAATGAAAGAAAGACACAAGGAAAGTGAAGGAATGACGATTGCAAGCAAGTTCAGTCTACAGTTACTTATATACACATAGTATACGTTATGTCACAGTAAGCGAATCTATATTCCAGATATTG